TCACTACACCACCAGTGCTCCTGAAGTGTTGTGAATTCTGATAGAGCTTCCTTCACCAGAGGTTAAAATTTAATAATGGCAGCACAATTGTTTTTCTCTAACATCTCATTTTTGCTGAGATTATGAATTCCTAATAAAGGCACAAAGTAATTTGAACCTCCAGCTATCTAAGATCCCTGTTTAGGGAAGGCAGTTAAATCAGGAAAGACCCTTTAAGATTTTACAAAGGCACAAAGTAATTTGAACCCCCCAGAATCTAAGAGTCCCCTTGAAAAACAGAAGGCAGTTTAAGTCAAGAAAACACCCTTTAAGATTTTCGTGCAAGAAGATAACAAGGGAGCCGGTATCAAGGAGTTCAAGAAGAAAGAAAATGGTTTGAAACTAAAAGGAACAAGGGTGGTGTCTCCCTGTTTGGTGGTGGTCACAGTGCGTGCGCCACGCCTTTATGTGCACAGTTGTGCTACTGGGGCAGCGCCTCACATGTTCGTTTTCTATGCATTGTGTGTGTGTCTATTTGAAAAATACAGTAGTCACCTAATGCTACTAATTATCTTGCTTAGACTTCCAAAGGTTAGAATCAAAGCATATATAAGTGCATAGTCTCATCATACGTTTTTTAAGGCTGGATGTGTTAGAGAATGAAGACCTTTTCTATTTCAGAAAGATCAATACAGCAGTGTATTCGCGGTCTATGATGTGATGCCCACAATTTTGCATAAAAACATTCGAATAGTTTCACTAAGAGGGCAAATAGAGACTAAAGGGCCTGCCAGTTCAGAGTAAATATTACTGCCAAATCAGTTTTGGTACTGGGGTTGCAAAAAAGATATTATATTATCCTTTCAGAATGTTAGAATGTATGTAGGGGGGCGGGGGGGTGGAAATACAAGTAAGGGATTGTAGGCCTGATTTGTGTAATCTGCTGTATTTTTAATTTAACAATAAATATTTCATGTTACACTTGCATGAAATATAATTATTTGATCTGCCGTCATAAAAAAAAAAACCCAATTTGTTGTCAGAAAATGAATTTCTAAATCTTGCTTTCTCTTTTTGTACATCACCGTTTGTGTGAATAAGTTCCTGGAAATGGGTCGAGGGCCATTAAAAGCTGTGTAGACGTTGCTGCTTGTGATTTCCCAGAGGTGTGTGTGACTTTGCAGGTTGCCAGGGCGAGTAAGGCAGTTTCTTTGTGGTGTCCCCAGAAGTGGGCTGGATGAGATCATTGATCTTGGGGGGGGGTGCGTGCGTGGGTTGAGGGGTGGGAGGGGGGAAGAGCAGCTGCATTAGATAATACGTTCATCTTCAGGTTATCTTTCTGGCCATCAGTTAGGATAACAGTAATACTGAGGTGAATTTTTGTTTACTTTTGTTGCTGAATTGGTATGGAAGGTGCTGTTTTTCTTAAACAGCCGCCTTGTTCTGAGGTCCTCAGTCACAATGGAGTGGCACCTCAGTTTGCCCCTCGGGTCATTGCAGAAGTATATGCAGAGCCCTTGTTATGTGATCTAGGCTTAGCTCATCATCATGAAAAATGAGCGCTGTTAAAAGCTAAACTCGGTTGACCTGTGGAGGGTGCCGGAGACCTGGTAGAACCTCTGTGTAAGGATTTGAAGCCATTAAAAAATGTGTGTGTGTGTGTGTGTGTGTGTGTGTGTGTGTGTGTGTGTGTGTAAGGAAATAAGTCAGATACCCAAAGTAGCTAAAGTAGCTGAATGGCTTAACTTTTTAGCATATGAATTCTGGGGATTATTTTGTTACTGTTAACATTTGCATACAATTTACTTTAATGGAAAAAACCAGTATGCAAATTTATCTCTATATTACTGTAACTATGTTAGTTATGCCCTCCTGCGTGCACACGCGCCAGCTCGCACCCACACACACAACCCAACTTTGGAAGGAAGTCCTTTAAGTCTTCAAATATACACATTATCAAGAAGATAAGGGGGTGTTTGGTCTGAGGCATGCATATTGTTTTTGCCCAAGAGAGAAGCTCTGACGTGTACACGTTAGTGTACCGAACGGTAATGTGCATTCAGAGTTGTTTTTTAAGTACTTTAAGTGTATACGCTTATTTGGGTGGTATAAACAATCCAGTAAGAAAATCTTGATGTCATTTACCTGTGAGTTCCAGTATTCTTTTTACCTACGATATTGTCCTTCAAGAAATGAGCATAATGTTGACCAATATTGGTGATATATATACACAATATCCACGCAGGTTTGACCACAGTGATTCTTCTGTGCCCTTTTCCTTTCTCTTAAACTCATGGTTGGCCCTGATACTGTACCCCACTGATGCCAGTCACGATGAATTGTGTGCAGTCCCACCACCATGTACACACACACATAGGACCTCCTGCGTGATCCACTCTAAGGCAGCAATTCTCAAAGTGTGGCCCCTGGGGATCCTGAAGCCCATGCCAGGAGGTCTGCACTTGAGAGTGATGCTAAGACGCTGCTACTTCCCCTTTCACTGTGCCGCCATGCCCAGCAGGGTGCAGAGCCCTGGTGAGTGGATGGCTGGGGCGGGCCCTCAGATAGTGCTTTGGACTAGACTGCTGTGTAACTGACTAGTGTTCTGCACTGCCATGCATCTGCAATAAAAACTGGATCCAGCTTCCCTTAACAATGTTCTTGATTAAATAGTCAAAAACAATGTACTGGATTGCAGCCCTTGAGAACAGAGTCTAATGAGAGAATGGGTGAGGCCGCTCAAAGAGTGGGCTCATGGGCCCTTGGGCCTGAATTCACACCTGTGGAGGAGGCTCCAATAGCCAGAGTTTTCACGAAACCCGAAACAACAGCTGACTTACTTGGAAACAGGCAGTTGGCATTTACTTTCTTAGAAAATGAATGAAGTAAGCCTGTTGCTCACTGCTAGGAAGATAGCTGAGAGGGACCATTTCTGGACGGTATCACACACACCCCGCCCCCCAAAAGGAAGTCACTCCGTGAGATGGAGTGACACCGTGGCTGCAACAAAGGGTTTACACGTGGAAACAGTTGCGAGGACCGCGCTGGATGGACCATGCTTCCTATTGTCTTTAGGGAGGATTGCCGTGGGTGTCCGTTCTGCCGTACTGAACACCAACTTGTTTTCAGTGATAACATTTGGGATCTCTACTGAAATTTAAGACTTCGGGAAAACCTTCACTTTGACAGCTTCCCAATCAATGCTCAGGATTTCTGATGGGTGCATAGAGATGTTAATGAAGGTGTTGATTGTTTCCATAAAGAGATGTGTCAAAAAAAATTTTTTTAAACCCAAACAAACAAAAAAAAAGAGATGTGTCAGTGTTTGAGACTTCCAATTATCTATCCAGGTCTAAGCGTTACAGAGTTCAGGGGAGTGAGACCAGAGGTTTTTTTTAATTGGTTAGGCCCCCAAACTTTCAGATTTTACAGTCCGACTGGTCTTTAAGAAACTGCCCCTTTCACGTGATGTAGTAACAGAAGAGCGGTTACGGCTCTCTGAGTAGATTATTACAACACCCCCTCCCAGCTGTATATCTAGGCCAGGCTATAATTTCTCCTCATGCTCCAACCACAACCACCTAGTACGGCACTTTGAGTGGTGAAGCAGCTGTGAAAATCCAACTCCATTCCAGTAAACTGTAGGAAGGGACCTTAGACAGTTCTACAGTTTGTGATGATATGCTATTATCTCTTCCATTTTTCCACCAACTTTTTGAAGCCCCTTTGTACAAAAATAATGATAACATCGTACTGTAAATTATTAACTGATTTTTTTTTAGCTAATGGCTTGAGGCTTAAATTTGTTTTCTAATTAAAAAAAATTTTTGTTTTCTAATTTTACTTTCATTAGTAAAATTAGTAAATATCAATAGCCATAACCTACAAAAAGGAGCCCAAGTGGCACTGAACTACTCACCAGAAGGTTGGTGGTTCAAATCTACCAGCTGCTCTGGGAACTGTGCCCGGCAACCAGCCTTCATAAAGGTCACAGCCTAGCACACCCAGGAGGGCAGTTCTTTTCTGTTCCAGGGGTCGCTGTCAGTTAGTGTGTGTGACACACACACACACACACACACACACACACACGAAACTTGTGAAAAAGCTCTCTGTGATTGATCCTCAAGAGTCTTGGGAATGATGGGGTCCTGAGACCACAAGGTTTGAGGCTGCTGCTTCAAGGCCTGGTGACTCAGCGCAGTGGTTCTGGCCATGACCTGAGGGCCATGCCTCACCCCCACTTACCAGAGCTTGTGGAGTGGAGCAGGCCTGCTGAAGGAACTGGGGGCGCAGCCTCCCGAAGGGGGAGTGCAGTTTGCGGTCAATCCAGTAGGGACCATGAAGAGAGAATTGGGAGGTGGCTCTTCTTCAAGTGGGTCCCCTCCCATCTGCCTGTCCTCTGGTCAGACATGCCCTTTCAGGGAGACCCTTCCAGACCACTGAGTTTTGGGAGTTACCTGGTACACGTAACCTGGAGAAACTGGGGTCTCAGGAGGGCTGGTCCACCAAGGTGAGAATACCTCTAGGAGACACCCGGCAGGAGGGGGGGCAGGGGCTGCGTTAGCCAGATGCTTCCCCACATCTAGCAAGCTAGGCAGGGCTAGCTCCTTTCTGCTTTGTCCCTAGTCTGCAGACAGTCGCCATTACTGTCTCTGCAGTCAGCGTGCCCGAGAGAAAACCGGACAAAGACGGATGCCTCTTCAGCTTAGGTCACAGCCTCGCCAGTTTGTCTCCCACCAGTGTCGCTCTGTCACAGCACAGCGCTGTGCGGGCGGACAAGCATGTGCGGAGACTGTCACGGGGCAGCCCTTTTGAACTAGGTTTTCCAGATTCAGCATTTCAAGGCCAAGGCAGAGTTTTTATATGTTTGCAAAAGAATTCACTCTTTAGTCTGAGATCGGTGACTAAGCAAATCTGTTTGGACTAAGTAGTCAACCAGACAGTCTTAATATAAACTGTTGTCAAAAAGTTCGCCTACTTCTAAGCCCTCACATCTATTCATTGTCTTGTTTTGTTTTTAGGGTGAATCCGTAAAATATTTCCTGGATAACTTGGATAAGCTTGGAGAACAAGTAAGTGTTTTTAACGGAATGTTTATGTGGATGGCTATTTACAAGCAGTTACAGGATAGTGATGTCTTTATGGTAGGGCACCTTGTCAGTATTTGGGAAAATAGCCTATTATTACGCTTTTAGGAGTTTTTGTTGTTATTTTCTTTTTCAGACTGATCAGTAGCTAAAGGTATTGAATGACCCCAAACCCCTCAAATGAAAAGCTCTTTTTCGGTTCCCATTAGAGTGGGCTCTCTAATGCTCAGGCTGCTGTATGCCCACAGGAATACCCACCTTCTCTGTCCTCCTTCAAGGCCCTCCTTCTCTCCCCAAACATGGAAACAGCGCAGTGGCATGGGGGAGGCCACACTCGACCTCAGCATTTTCCAGGGCGGTGCCCTTTGTGCTGTAGGAAGGCTGGCTGGGTTAAAAAAATAAAAATCAATACGCATCCCAGTACAATGTTTTCCATATTGTTGCATAAAAAAAGTTTGTGGGAAAATGGGATGACAAGATCTTGGGATTTTAAGACCCTCCCCTCCTTATGGCTTAGTAGAAGACGGGACTTACTCTCGTCCTGGGCCGAGCTACCCTGCGAAAATGCTGGAAAGCCACTGCCCTCCAGCAGGGTGTGAGCCACTCCCCTACCCCAGTGGTGTCCGCCTCCCCTCCAAGCAAACTCCTCTTCCAGATTCTAGCACGGCCACCTAACCGTTTCAATATGGGCTTGGACTGTAAACACTTAGACAATCAGAACTCAGTGGGGAAGCACAGGGTGAAGCCCACTGCAAGTAGGAATGCTGAGTCCTGGTGTGGCTCAGACGGGGGGAAGGGTCTTCTGGTTGCTGTCCCATGTTAAGGTTTGCTCGGTCTCTGCCCCTCTCCCAACCAGTGTCTGTGTTTCTTAGCCTCAGCTGCCCACATCCCCGTTGAGCTCTCTATCTGGTTTTGCTCAGTAGGTCAGTAAAACTTGGTTTGAAGGCCTGTTTCATTAGCATGTTTCCATCTGGTCAGAATCTAAACCTTCAAAAGTAGACAGAGGCCAAGTGGATGGACGTCTTTTAACAGAGCAACTCTAATTCTCTAGGAGTGGTTTCAATGTTCTGATGTGAATCGGGCCAATTTGACCTTCTCTTCTCAGTTTCCCTCCTCAGGGAGACCACCTCTGAGCGCCCCATTCCAAGCAGGTCCTCACAGCCGTGTCCTCAGCCCTGGCCTCTGCCTTCCTTGCACTTAGTGAGCATCCGGGTTGTGGCTTCAGTTTAGGCCTACTGGTCTTTGACCCACTTCTCTCCGTGAGGGCTCCACCTCCCCAGTGGGACAGTGCCTGGCATGCCGTGCTGCAGCCGCTCCGCAAAGAGTTGTGACCCTGATGCCTCTGTGCAGGCCACCTACAGTCAACCCACTGAGACCCAAGACCGCCCTGTACCCAGAGGGACAGGCAGGGTGGAGCAGGGAGACTGGATCAGAGGAAACAGCACACATAGAATGGGAAGGAAGAGGATGCTGACACACATTCCCCCAACAGTTTGTGTTCAGACTGTTCGATGGGGGCTTACATGCTGTGGAAACTTTCACCTAAACACAATCAAAGATTTAAGTGAAAAAAACAAAGTCCCCGAAGAGTTCCTATAAGCCTTTCACTCAGTTTCTCTAAAATGCAGCATCTTTTGTAATTATAACACAAGAATCAAAGCTAATAAACTAACTTTGATATCCCACCTCACCCCCCATAAATCTATAGCTTCTGAATGCGTGCCAGGCCAACTCCAGCCTATTCCCTGTAGCTGCATAGAGTACTGTGTTGAGAACAAACCTGAGGCCACACACCTGGAGGAAACCAGTAGAGGAGGGAAAACACACCTGCGTTTGAGTTTCTGGTTGGGGAAGAGGTTTTAGCGCTGGACTCCGAAACAAAAGATAGGCAGTTCGAACCCTCCAAGAGATACCTTGGAAGAAATGCTTGGGAATCTGTTTCGAAAATGTTGCAGACTTAACCCTGTGGAAGGTAGTTCTTGGCACTCATGGGATTGCTGTGAATTGGAATCTATTCAGTGGCAACCAGTTTGGTCTGGTCTGGTTTGATGGTACCCTATTTCCCTGAAAGTAAGACATCCCCAGAAAATAAGAGCTACTTGCAGTTTTGCCTCTCACTGAAATATAAGGCATCCCCCTGAAAATAAGGCCCCCCAAAGCTACCGTACCTCTGGACCATAGCAGCGGGCGCCGCACAGCTCACTGTTGGCTGCAGCGCAGCTGGGGCAGACAGGAAGTGTGAAATCTCTTTTAATAAAACAGTAAATGTGTACTGTATTCTTCTTCATGGAAAAATAAGACATCTCCGGAAAATAAGACCTAGCGCATCTTTGGAAACAAAAATTAATATAAGACCCTGTCTTATTTTCGGGGAAACGGTACACAATTGCCCTCATTTTGTGCATCTCAGATGAGTACGGAGTACAGGCATGGTGTCTCCGTCTCTCTCTCTCTCTCTCAAGCAGCCGGGCCGCTGAACCAGAAGACCCTCCGGGAGAACTGAGCAAGGGTCAAGGACATGGACTCTAGCCACACTTCTGGGGTCATTCCCAGTTCTGTCATGGACAGTTCTCTGCCACCGCTTTGTTGTTATAAATCATAAGGGTCAGTAAGAGAACTACATTCCAAGAGATATTGGTCAGTTAGATGAACTACATCTGTGAGAGATGTTAAAGATGCAGCCTTGCACATAGTAGATGCTCAGTGTTAGCTGTTTGGGTCTTTGATGCATACCTTTAAGGATCACAGACTATTCAAACAAAACTGATATATGAAAAATGAGCAATGGTTCCTTGAATATAAAACCAGTTTGTACTGCAAAGAGCCAGTTGGAGCAAGTTGATGTGCAGGGACGGGTGAGGAAGAAATTGGGTTTCCTTCTTGACTTTGTTGCACTTGAATGCAAGTAGGCTGTCGGGTGCAAACAGCTGGTGAGCATTTAAAAATGAGACTCAAATGAACTTTGACCTGTGACTCCAGCCTTTTCAGTGGAGGTGGGAGTCATGGTAGATGCAGTATAGGGATGTTTGTGGACACAGCTCCTCGACACTTGACTTCATTCATTCCTCAGTTGATCCCTGCATGTTGTTGTCCATATTTTACAAGTGAGGAATGGTAGAGGTGGGGGGCACGACCAGGTGAATTGCCAGAGTCACACAACCATGAACTAGGCTGTGGTGAGCTGGCTCTTGAGTCGATGCTGCCAAGCACTGCACTGTGCTTGTGAAGCCACGGAGAACTTCTTGATTCAAGAACTCTCTTCTCCCCGCTAGCCCTCCCCCAATATCGAATTGCTGTTGTTAGCTGTCAGTGAGTCAGCTCCAGCTCTTAGCAGTTGTGTCCTGCCCTGCACCATCCTCACTCTTGTTACGTGGAAGCTCATTGTGGCAGCCTTCATTGTCGGTCTGTCTCACTAAAGGCCGCCTTCTTTCTTGCCGGCCCTCTCCCAAGCATGACGTCCTTTTTAAGGAGCTAATCTTTCTAGATACCATGCCCGAAACACATAAGATGAAGTCTTTGCCATCCTCACCACTAAGGAGCCTCTGGCTGCACTTCTTTGGAGTCAGATTTGTGTACTCTTTTGTCAGTCACGCCGTTGAATTTTCTTGGCCAGCACCATCACTCATCACATGCATACGAGGTGACTGAAAATACCTTAGTTGGATCAGACCACAGCATAGACCTCAAAGTGACATCTTTGCTGTTTAACACTTTAATGAGCTCTCGTGCAGCAGATTCTCCCAAGAGAACATGCCATCTGACTTCTCAACTGCTCCCTCGAGGAGCATTAGTTGTGGATCCAGGCACGACAGAATCCTGGACAGCTTTGGTCTTTTCTCTGCTCTCTGTTCAGCAGGCTGTTTCTCCAGGTCCAGTTGTGAGGGCTCGGTTTTCCTGTGTGTTGAGTTGTAATCCATACAGAAGACTGCAGTCCTCTTCCCGCAGCAAGGGCTTCCAGGCTGCTTAGCTTTCCGCAGCAGGGGGATGATATATGCGTGTGACGGTTGTTAATGAGCCTTTCTCCAGTCTCGATGCCTTGCTTGTCTTCCTACAGCCCAGTTTGTGGGGTTCATGGCTCAGCGCAGTACAGAGCTAGTACCGGGAAAGAAATCCTGGTGCTGGCGTGCTTGGGAAGCAGGCAGCACACGTGCACCACACGACAGTACCACCCGCCTAGGAAGCAGCTTGTCTGGGAGTGTCGGTGTCATTGAAATGTTCATAACCTTTGTCTCTGTCATCTCATTCCTGGTAAGTTAGTCTCGGGAAATAGTCCAGAAGAAGGGAAATATCACGTGCAGTAGAGCTGGAATGACAGCAAAGAATTGGGAGCAAACGCAGTCGTAGTATTAGAAAGACATTGGGCTGAGAAGAAAGAACTGATTATATTGCACACAGAAGGGTGCTGGGGGTGCGGGGTGGTGGTGGTAGCAAACACCTTCCATTTGTTCAGAACCTTACAGTTCACTGGTCCCCAGAGAAAGGGGCCTGCTTGATTTTCCTAACCCCACACCAACACAGGCTGGCCAGGTGTGGTCACCACCATTTCACAAGCAAAGCCCTGGCATTTAGTGCCAGTGACTGACTGGCTGACTTGTAAGCTTTGGGCTCAGCCAATGAGAATGCTGTGCCCCAGAGTCAAACCCAGGAAGTGTGCCCTGAAGTGAGTCTGGTTCCTGGGTTGCGGGGGAAGAACGGTTCCCACGCGGGATACAGCAGCGTGAAGACTCGAAGGGCCCTAGTCATGGGGATGAGCGAGGCCACTGGAAAGGCACTCAGTCTGGGTCTGAGAGAGGCCCGGCAGAACTTTGAACTGGGGCCACGAAGCAGGTACGGAAAAGGGTGACTGCTCCTGTGACTAGTGAGGAGACACTGCTGCTGAGGTGAGAGGAGGGAGAGGTAAAGTGTAGTCTTGAAGGCAGAGGTGGACATAGAGCAGGGGGTCAGTGAGACAGCGGAGGGACGGATTAGACTCAAATTCGACTGGTATTGCAGGAGTGAGAAAAATCGCAGGTGCTGGACATTGGTGTGAATTTCTTAACTAGCTTTGTGTGCATTTGTTTCATCTACCTTAGCATTTTATGGTCACGATGTGTGTGTGTGTGTTAGGTCCGGTTGACTAGAGAAACAAATCCAGAGACACTTGTGTGTAAGAGAGCTTTATATCAAAGAGCTGTATATTGAGCAAACATCCCAGCCCAGTCCAGGCCAAGTCCATATGTCCCATACTAGTCCATAAATTCCTCTTCAGACTCATGCAGCACATGCGCTGGTGCTGGTCTCCACGTGGCTTCTACAGCTCCAGAGCTCTGGCTGCCATCAGCGTGGCTCCATGTGGCTTGGCAGCAGGAATGTGAAGGCAGAGTGTGTGCGTCCCGCCTTCAGAGAGGAAGTTCCCAGAATCCTCATGCTAAGGCCATGCCCACAAGGTGCCATCATCAGGCTGTGACCCGTTGACAGACTAGAATCCACCCTTCACTCTTAATAACCTCAAGTTGACGCGAGATTCTGTAACGACCACACAATGGTAGTAATAGTATTGCTGCTTTAACGTTATCAGGAACTGTTAAGAAAAGCATCTTGGGGATACCCATTCACTAGACTCCTGGACCAGTCGTAGTCCATTCAAGCCTCCCACACTCCCTTCTCCGTGGCAGAGAATAAGCTCCTGTTTGTCTTTTCTAGGACTACATTCCATCCCAGCAAGACATCCTGCTCGCCAGAAGACCCACCAAAGGCATTCACGAGTACGACTTTGAAATTAAAAATGTTCCTTTCAAGATGGTTGATGTCGGGGGGCAGAGATCGGAGCGGAAGCGGTGGTTTGAGTGCTTTGACAGCGTGACGTCCATCCTGTTCCTCGTGTCCTCGAGTGAGTTCGACCAGGTGCTCATGGAAGACCGCCTCACCAACCGCCTCACGGAGTCGCTGAACATTTTTGAAACCATTGTCAATAACCGAGTCTTCAGCAACGTCTCCATAATTCTTTTCTTAAACAAGACAGACTTATTGGAGGAGAAAGTGCAGCTGGTGAGCATCAAAGACTACTTCGTAGAGTTTGAAGGGGACCCGCACTGCCTCAGAGACGTCCAAAAGTTCCTGGTGGAGTGCTTCCGGAATAAGCGCCGGGACCAGCAGCAGAAGCCTCTCTACCACCACTTCACCACGGCCATCAACACAGAGAACATCCGCCTGGTTTTCCGGGATGTGAAGGATACGATTCTTCATGACAACCTCAAGCAGCTCATGCTGCAGTGATGTACACACAGACTTGCTAGTTGACACCCCATTGTGTTTCCATCGTCTTTGGTTTGGTTTGTTGTTTTTTAAATAGCAGTTTACAACAGGAATTAGAGAAACCTTGATTCTATGTTTAGCTTCTGGGAAGTCTTGGTCCCTCTTGGTGTGGCATTGCGTTTGGGGCTGCAAGCTGCTGGCTGATGCCCTGTCAATTCTGCCAAAGGTCGGGATGACTTCCATTTGAGTCTGGTTGTGCTGCCTTGGGGGGCCTCGGGCTACGTGCCCACCGCCTTTCCAGCAGAGGCCTCCTATGGTGCCAAGCAGAAAAGGTATCTCCACTCCTTCCACGCCTGTCAGGATGAGGTGGTGGACAAGCAGAATGAGGAAGGTGGCTGTGGTCTGCCATACACACAGGAGTGGCCCTCTGCAGGGAGGGCCCTGGCTGCAGTTTGGCCCAAGGAACACCCGCATGTAGGTTTACATTGCTGGCGCCTTCGTGGTTGAATCTCTCAGCAGCGATTGTGTTTGGCAATGTCTGTGGTTTCTGACATTGTTTACATGAGGGTTTCTGGTCTGATGCTGATGAAGAGTTCACACATGGTACGGGGCCGAGAAGCCAAGCAAATGCCATACAGAGTGTTGGGAGCCAACGTAGCGCACACCCGACAACTCACGTTTGGCCCGTTCAGTTACCCTGTCGCTAATGTGCCATACCTTGTAACCTGCTGGCCACAGCAGCAACTGAGAACTGCCCGTGACTTGATGAGCCGAGCCTTCTGCCTCAACGTACCCGTTCCAGAATACCGTGTGTCTTATGCTCAGGCTCAGGCAGGTGGGGCCTTTACTGTTTCGAATTGCGCTGTCACCGTTTTCTTTCCCTGCCACCCCTCCGGACTGTGGCGCCCTCGGGTTTTCTCTTTCCGTGGAGCTTCCTGTGGGGCCGTGCAGGCGGCATTACTCGTAGCCGCTCTTGCTGTCTCCAAAAGACACAACCTGTGGAGGGCCTGTCGATGAAGTGCTGCTCTGGGGAGGCATGGGGAAACATCTGAAGGGTCCTTCCAGGGATAAGGAGTCATTTTTGTTGTTGCTCACACCTCAAGTGGATGCCATCTGAATTCCCTCCCCGATGTCCCGAGATAGAGCGTGCCTGTGAAGCAGCTGGGCTTCATGTCTGGCGGCAGACACGTTTGAGTGGACTCAAACCATGTGAGCGGCTGATTGGCAGCAGGGAAAAGTCTGGGCTCATAGGTTGGCACTCGAGTCCAAGCAGGATTCAGAGAGACAGGTGTTCACGGCGGGTGAGTGTGAAGAGCCTGACAGCGTTCTTCCTCTTCCTGAAAATTGTGATTATGACTGTGATACTGTCCTACTGCCAGGTCTCAGGGATTCCACTGGTGAGAAGACTGTGGTGAGGGGGAGGTTCCCTGATGGGCATGAGGGTGGGGCACCGAGGTGAGCTAACCAAGGGTGGCAGGCCTCAGCACCGCCTCCATAGACTAGTAACTTCCAGTGTGTCCTGCCTGCGTGAGACACAAGTTACAAACATGCAGCCCACGCCGCACTGCGGTATACAAAGTGTAGTTTGCACATTTGAGTAATCGAGTGCTTCTTGCCAAAAGGAAGTCCTGGTTGAAATTCCCATGGTTAGTATCACTGGCATACTAAAGACCATCTCTGAGGATGTGCCCCGTAACATTGGGCCTTTCGATGGGAACTCCAAGTCTAAGTTTAACCAGCAGTTACACTGACCTGTCAAACATCATTTCGACCCCAGTAAAGGCTAAAGCAAGTTCCCTATAGAAAGAGGAAATGGAGTCTCATGAAAATTACACTTAATATCACCAATAGGAACCAGGAACCACTGCCATGTTCTCCAATTTGACTGCCGTCAGCAACATCCAGCACCAGACTGAGAGGGGCTGGTAATTAATTGGTGTTTGCTAGCCTCTTCCTTGCTGTGTAGGAGCCCTGGGGCCATAGTGGTCATGCATTGGGCTGCGACCTTCAAGGACAGCAGTTCGAAACCACCAAGCTACCCTCTTTGGGAGAAAGATGAGGCTTTCTACTCCTGTAAAGAGTTACAGTCTGGAAACCCACACAGACCATACTACTCTGTCTCCTAGGGTGGCTGCGAGTCAGAAATGACTCCGTGGCGGCAAGGTTTTGGTCCTTGATGGATACGACATCTCAGTCAATATTCTTCTGAAAGAAATTATATGGAGGCAGTGTGGTTTGTGCCAGGCTTGTATAGATACCCAGTAGAGCAGTGAGATTCCATGGGAAGAATTCAGACCATGTTTCTGATATACGTATTTTTAGAACAGTTGAAAGGAATCTGATGCCTAGAGCTTGGATACCGGCTCCTTTGAAAGACCGCTCTCTGGAGGAGGAGGTGGAATGGAGGTGGAGTTAGGAAAGGGTACTTGTCAGCCTCGCTTTGCCAGCCCCCCAGTCCCCTGCCCCCATTTCTAGAAAAGTAATAGAAATATAATGTTCTTTTGGTGTGAGCAATTTTTCTAACGTTTCATGGTTCTGTTCTGGAATCAACTGTGCCTAATTCCATATGACATTCTGTTCTTAACACCTGTAGGCTTTCCCTTCCCTTTGAATTCTCAAGAAATACCACCCAAGTGTCTGCACTGACCTTGAAGAAGTTCATACCATACAGTTGCCTTACAAATCAGCAACACAAACCCAGGGCTTGGCTTTTTGTTTAAGGGGAAAAGTATTGTCCAAAGTTTTCTGGAGATCTAAATAATTCAAGGTATGTATCTGCCACTGAACTACGCTCTTTGGTAGCCTGCCCTGTTGCACTCTGCTGATGTAAACTGCAGGCTCCGTTACCGGTACTGCCGGGAAAGGGCCCTGGAGAGACGGAGAGCGGCTGCGTGTGGAGGAGTGACGCGGCTCTGCCAGTTTCTGCTTTGTTCCCAGTCGCTCTGCAGGCTAATCCCCGAAGTGCAGTTCAGTTGCCCGGCGGGGTTTGCTGTGAGGTAGAACAATGTAAAACGACCAAGTATTGATTTAAAGGTGATCAAAATCCCATGACCCTGTAGTTCTTTTTGTTAGCAAGAATGGGTAATTCAACCTTACCTCTCAGTGTCTACCCAGATACTTGTATTCATACTTTGGATAAGACGCGTGTTCAGCATTAATTCACATAATCCGGTTATGCCTTATTTATATGCTTTTATGTCCCAAAACCCAAGTCCTCTTTTAAGGAGCCCTCAAATTGGTGCTTGCATGGCAGAATAATCGCATTGGAAGCAGGCTTCTCTCCACTGCAGCGGGTAGCCCTGTTCTTTCTGCATATGTACCAAGAAGGCTATTAATCAGTGTTAACTCTGAATTTCCTGTTGGACTCCATGAAGTAATTAACCATACCTGAACAGCCCAGGCTGCCGTTTGTAACCAGCTCACTAATAAATCTAGAGAAAGCCATTCTGTTCCCTTTCATTGCTTCCACGCTGACCCGAGGGATCCCCAAGAGAAAGGCTGTGCTGGCTTTCTTACCCCTTGGAAAGCTGCCTTCGGACTGGCTGCCTGGGCCCCTCCTTCCTGCCATTTTCAACCTCTTCACTTACAGATGGTCCACCCCTGCATAATGCTGCTTGACTGAAAGTACTGAGATAGTATCGTGCTTTAAATGATAAGGATACAGGCTGGCCTCCCAATCGCGCCCCCATGAGGACCAGAGCGATTGTATGCGAGTAGCTGTGCTCTGTGTCTTCCTCTCCTAGAGAAAGCAGACGACCGGGGACGCACCCATTGTGTTATGGTACGAGGTTAGGACTCAATGAATCAGGACTGAAGGTCCAAGGGTCAGTCTACATCCAAACCTGGTAAACAAGATGGCCTGGGCCGCTGTCTCAGGTACCATCAAGCAGACAGAGGTTAGCCTGGGGGCCACAACCGCCAGTAACATCATTTGAAGGGCCGATGTTTGTGCCACTGGGATTCCTGTGACTACCTGGATGTGAGGGGAACGTTGAAACGCGTTGACCTTGTGGCCAGCAAGCCTCACCTTTTGAGTTCAGATACCAGAATTTTCCAGGAGCTTGGATTGTTTTCAACGTACTCCTAAGATGGCGTTTCCAGGGCTGGTAGAGATTTTGTAACTAGCCCGAAGGGTTCTGGCATTCCCGGCCTGGGAACTGCTCCTGACTCCAACTGTGACTTCGCTTGTCTCTAGAAAGCGTGTTTATTTCCTTTCTTGCCATTATAAGGAATGACCTTGCCCTCAGTCGTGCCTGCTTGATGGTACTGAGAGAAAAGGGAGGGGCCAAGCAGGCATTCATTCTGGGGAAGAAGGGGAGGGCTGCCAAAAGGCCCATGGGAACATGGGACTGAAAAGAGAATGGAATTTCGCCAGGAGCATTTCAAAGCCCCTCTGGTCTGCAACCAGCCACACCACTTACCTTTCCTTTACCTCTTACTTGAAAGCAGAAATCGCAAAAAATGTTTGAATGGCTTTTCTCTGCTCCTTCGCTGTGGTGAGAGCTCGTTTACCACAAGAAGCCTTATCAGAAAACGTCTGTCACAGCCTCATACTGTCCCTAACAGCGCAGGAATTGTACTCACTGTATACAAGCATTGGGTTAGGAGTTTTCCTTTAATGCCTATCTTTATAACTTTCCAGGAACCAAGCACATTATCGGATACTGTAAATTTCTTTTCTGTTAGTGCTTTTAGTTCACGATTGGCAATAAATTATTTCTAAAGGAAGTCTAACAGTGGAAAGATGGTTGGATTTCACAAAACCCAAGTTCCTTGTTCATGAAGGCTTTTGTATATATTTTGTCTCTTGCTATTAATATTTGCTTTGTAAAAATTTACATTTAATAAACATTTATAAACTACTCAGTACGATGACATTTTTTAACATACCAGTTGGATAATGGGTCCATGTAAAGTAGATAGTTGGAAACCGTGGAAGCAAAAAATAAAAACGACGCTCATCTAGGCCCAGAAATGTGTCTCAGCGCCGTCGCTGCCCGACAGTCATGAACTTGCCCTCACTAAAGATGGACATGTGGGCCTCTGCCAAGAAATTTCACAAGACATGTCATCTGTTTTGACGTGGGAAAAGGAATGGGGGAACCATTTGTCCTCCCCCCTCTGCTCCTCTTAGAATTGCTGCTGCCGCTGCCTTGGCGCATCCTTACTCGCTTCATCCCGCCTGCAGGAATAAAGCCATTCCATCCCTTGTCACTGCATGCAGTGTTC